TGACTCTCCTCCCCTCCCGCCGCCTGTTACTATGGACGCGGCCGGGAGGGGAGGTGAGTCACAGGACCCGCCCCCTCACTGTGAAGCCCGTCGGCAGTGCGGGGCCCAGCGGCCCGGTACCATTTGATCCATGGACCGGTACCGGTCCGCGGCCCGGGGGTTGGGGACCACTGATCTAGGACAACATGGCTGATCTGGAAAGTGAGCAGAATTGGAGAATTTTTTCAGTTCAGCTATGTTGTACTAGATTGTTGCCTTCTCCTGCCTTCTCCAAACTCTTCACTCTTTTGTGAACAGCCCTGTGAATTAAATGCAAGAATACATTCTACCATATATAAGTAACTGGCCAGAAGCTTTCCACTCACATTCGGCTCCAAAGGTCCAGCTAGAGTGTGGCCAGGTGAGTAGACATCGTGTTGGGAGGACATCAGAGGAGCCGAGGCTGGTGGTTGCTGAAATGTCACAGAAGGACTAGAGCCAAGGTCTTCCCTCCTTGGAGGATCTGCTGGATTAAGATGTAGTTACTATTTAACTAAACAAACTGGAATACAGTAACCATAAATCTGGATTCATTTATAAAAAATTGGAGGGACAAGAAGAGCAGCCAGTCACGTGCTAGGTTTTGTCTTTTTGGTTAAAGGGGGGGAGGGGCACGGGGGAGGAAGTGTGGTGGGGGGGCGGATGACATTTGATCTCCAACATTCCTTTTCTTTATTCAAATTATCCCCAAGATGCAAATTAAAAACAAAACAAAAAACATAACAATTAAGACCAGCACTGTGTTCAAAATTGTGAAACTAGTGCACTAAAACCAAGAAAATGAATTGTCCGTGTAGGACAATTAATAAGTGATCCGTGCGCTTCACCGGGCTCTTCACCGTGCTCAGACATAACAAATGTTCATTTTATTGAACAAATTGTCAAGAATGGGAACAAGCGTTTCGGGCCATTACAGGGTCCCTTCATCAGGCTTCAACATTGAATGTTCAACATCAATTTTGAAGCCTGATGAAGGGACCCTGCGAGGTCCCGAACGCGCTTGTTCCCATTCTTAAGAATTTGGTGATTCTAGAAGGATCTTTGGTGTGCTGGTGACATTCTTCACAAACATCCTATGCTTACAGTGGTGCCACCAGCAGTCATTCCAAGCACCCTCCAATATCGTATGGGATTTCCGGTAAGGAGTACAACAAGAACCTTTACATTATCCAGACATATAACAAGCCGCACTCACCGGACTCATATTCTTCACCATATTACAGATGAACAATCGGCGCTTTCTGTATATTTAGGACCACATCCTCTCCTTCAACTTCTTATATGGTGCTATATCAGACGTGCTTTAATTATCCCTTCTACTTTTCAGCGTTCAATAAGAATAGACACACTCCATGCCTTACACCATTTCCATTGTCCACCTTCTTATTGGTTCCAGCTCAGAAAAAGAAAGCTATGCTCCCCATAGTGCAGTATGTAAAAAAAAAAGGATTTATAAAATAAGATAAAAATGCACTTACAATAGTAAAACAATATTAGCGCAAACCAAAGCCATCCACTGGCGTTCCTGTCCAACTGATCGTGATGCTCGCATGGAACTGCCCACCTAACGCCTTTCGTCCCTTCCGACTTCTTCCAAGGTGACGGTCAACATACAAGCATCAAGATCTCTGTAATTCTTTTTTTCTTTTCTTAGTATGTGTACATATGCTATTCATCCATTGGAGCTAGAACATATTTGTCCCCTAATAGGCTCCACATAATACCCAACGCTTTTATTCTTCGTTGCACACCTTCGCTTTATCCAGGTTTATGTATTTATTCCACTTTTATGCCATTGATACGCTGGAGTCGAGTGTGAGAGGTTTATGAGAGGGATCTTAATATCACATATTTGACGTTTAGTAATGACATCTAGTGTTGGATATAGGTACTACTTGAGATATAAAAGAGTTAGAGATCTTGATGCTTGTATGTTGACCGTCACCTCGGAAGAAGTCAGAAGTGACAAAATGCGTCAGCGTGCAAATCCATAAGAGCATCAACATCAGTCGGACAGGAACTCCAGTGGATGGCTTTGGTTTGCGCCAATATTGTTACTATTGTAAGTGCATTTTTTAATCTTAATAAATCCTTTTTGACATCCTGCACTATGGGGAGCATATAATTCTTTTTCTGGGCTTGAACCAACAAGAAGGTGGACGATGGAAATGGTATAAGACATGGAGTGTGGTTATTCTTATTGAACGCTGAAAAGTGGAAGGAATTATTAAAGCACGTCTGACATAGCACCACATAAGAAGTTGAAGGAGGTTAGGTTTGGTCCTAAATATACAAAAAGCGTTGATTGCTCCTCTGTTATATGGTGAAGAATACGAGTCGGTGACTGCGGCTTGTTATATGTCTGAGCACGGTGAAGAGCACGGATCACTTATTAATTGTCCTACACATAGAGGGTGTGTGGATGCAATAGTTGGAAGATTTTCTCTGCACTTTATTTGAAGAAATAGACGATCTATATATTTGGATGACTTTACATTACAGCGCTATATGGGTTGTTTCATGGGACTTTCACATGATCGCATCCTAGAAATATGTCTGTTATTTTTGCGTAACAATTTTTATGCCTATAATTCACAAGGTTTTCAATTTGAGATCACAGATTCCTACAGTTTATTATTGCGAGTTTATTGCACATGTGTTGTGCACTATGCACAGTTTTTGATTATTGGTTGATTTATTTTCTTGGTTTTAGTGCATTAGTTTCACAATTTTGAGCACAGTGCTGGTCTTAATTCTTATGTTTTGGGTGTAGTCACCTATTTAGCACAGCTGCTTCAGTGGCCTTTGATACCTCAGTGCAGTTTGAACATTTTTTTGTCCAAAAAAAAAAGTAACTGAAGTTAAGGTGGTTCTGTCCATAGGAATACAAGGAAAGAGGAGAAGTAAAAAAGACGAGTATGAATGGGTGTTTTTCCTGGATGTATAAATATCTTAGTCCTTGAGATTTCTTCCCATACTGTGTGAAGTATCTGACTACTGGTGCTGGACATATGTAGTTGGTATTACAGTGTCACCTGGTGGTCAGCTTGCTAACACACTTTCATTCAGTGTAGGTCTGGATCAATTTGAGGGTCACAGACACAGGTCTCTGGTACAGTATATGCACACAGCCCACTCAGCTCCATTCCAGTATATAAGGAGTAAAAGGAGAGTTGTATGATTACACTGAGAGATTACTAAGACCTTGATAAATGATTCTAATTCGTTTTCTGTGAAATGCCTGAGGTCTATGAACAAAACATATACCAGACTACCTTGTAGCTATCGTTATATCTTTTAGAACGAAGGTCAATGAACATGCATAGTTTACTTAGCCCCTGAAACATGTATTTGCTCAAGTCAGACACATTAGAATGATAACTTCCTCTGGGACAAACAGAATGACGCATATTGGCATCGGACTTAAGTGATTTAAAAAAAAAAAAAAATCAAGCAAGTTTGCACAATATAACCTTTCACCATTTCCCTTTCTTCTGCTCTATTTTGAGAGCCGAGCTAGTATCAATAAATGGTCCTACCAATTCAAATTTCCTTTAAATTGTAGAAGGTGCGTTTATCGGGAACCATTCTATTATCAGCTAAACATTATTAGATTTTGTTCAGTATTAGTCTAATAACTAACCATGGTCCATGTGGGCTTCTCTCCCTTGAAACATTGACATTGCTTCCATGTTTAACGCACATACGCCCCGCATGAAGGCTTTCTTCATTGTGCCCTCAAAGTGATCCCTCTCCGTAAGAAGTCTCTGTACTTCTGCTTTTGCATCTTCTATGGCTCGATTCAGCTGTGTTGAGATGCAGAAAAAGCAGAGTTAAAACACAGAGCAGAATCTTTATTTCTTGGACAGTGACATTTTAGAACATGGAAACCAACTCATACATGATGACTTTAATAGTGACTGTACTTTTAAATTGACTAGCTTGAAGAATTAGAGTGCATTCAGAAAGTATTCAGACCCCCTTCATTTTTTTAATTGCGTTATGTTGCAGCCTGATACTACAGTTGTTTAAATTCTTTTTTCCCCCTCATTAATCTACACTCAGTACCCCATAATGACAAAGTGAAAACGGAATTTTAGAAATGTCTGTAAATGTATTAAAAAGAAAAACCTGAAATATGACATGTACCTAAGTATTCAGACCATTTACTCAGTACATTGTTGAAGCACCTTTGGCAGCAATTACAGCCTCGAGTCTTTTGGGGTATGATATGTTTTGCACACCTGGATTGGATGATTTTCTGCCATTCATGTTTGCAAATCCTCTCAAGCTCAGTCAGGTTGGATGGGGACCATCGGTGGACAGCCATTTTCAGATCTTTCCAGAGATGTTCAATAGGATTCAAGTCAAGGCTCTGGCTGGGCCACTCCTGTGTTGTCTTGGCTGTGTGCTTAAGATCGTTTTCATATTGGAAGGTGAACCTTCGGCCAAGCCTGAGGTCCTGAGCGCTGTGGAACAGGTTTTCATTGAAGATATGTCTGTACTTTGCTCCATTCAGCTTTCCCTCAACCCTCACCAGTCTCCCATTTCCCTGCTGCTGAAAAACATCCCCACAGCATGATGCTGCCACCACCATGCTTCACTATTTCAAACAAATTGGTTGCGCTGGGAGAAAAATACTAGACACCAGCTGCAACAATGTATGTTTAAACGCTGAGAAGGACTAGTATGTTGCGCTTGGTTTGATTAATCTATTTGGTTTTGAATGCCCTCATATATATCATTAACTGTAAATTAATATGTTGATCCAAGTGTAACACCCGTGGTGATTATTATGTTGTAAATAATAAAAAATATAATAAATTAATAATAAATGGCAAAAATTGTGGTGATTATAATATTTTGTGACAATGAACTCTGTGAGTAATAAACTTAAATCTTTGTTAATAATTGATTCCTTGTGTGTGTCTCTTTTCAGTGATTATCTCTTAAATATGAGATATTCTAAATACTGTGTGGCGTGGTGTAATGGGCTCACCCAAATAGAATAAGTGTAACCACTATATGTGTTTAAAACACATCACATTAGGGGGTGTGAATTTATGAATAAAGTGTGCAAAATAATTGGTTTGTTTACTCATCCAAGAGGTCACAGAAGACCCCACTACAACATCCAAAGAACTGCAATACAGGTGCCATTGATACAGGTAATGAGTGCAGGACAGAGGAGCCTCTTAAAGAAGAAGGTACAGGTCTGTGAGAGCCAGAACTCTTGCTTGTTTGTAGGTGACCAAATACTTATTTTCCACCATAATTTGCAAATAAATTTGTTCCAAATCAGCCGATGTGATTTGTCTGGATTTGTTTTCTCATTTTGTCTCTCATAGTTGAGGTCTACCTATGATGCCAATTACAGGTCTCTCTCATCTTTTTAAGTGGGAGAACTTGCACAATTGGTGGCTGACTAAATACTTTTTTGCCCCACTGTATATAAAAAAATACTATATTCTAGTATTGTAGGCAAAAGCATAGCATCGCCTTTCCAAAATTCACTAAAATCTGCATAGAGAAAAAAAATGCTCCTTTACTTCACAACTAACTTCTGCCTACAAAAACACAGCTGCACTTTAAGCTGGACAAACTGTCTGATAGGTGACAATGGGACACATCTGGTAGTTTTGAAGGGCATATTTTCTACACTAGTGCCAAAAAAAAAAAAAAAATTTAGGCACCCTCCATGTAATTCAATTTGCCAAGAACTACACAAATGTAGGCACCCTCCATGTAATTCAATTTGCCAAGAACTACACAAATGTAGGCACCCTCCATGTAATTCAATTTGCCAAGAACTACACAAATGTAGGCACCCTCCATGTAATTCAATTTGCCAAGAACTACACAAAACTGAAATATTTGTTTTCAGATGATTTGGTCTTGAAGTGTAGATAAGTTACCTGTGCAACCTTAGCTTCATAGTCATTAGACAACTGAATACACACTTCTTCAGCTCGGGCTCGACATGCCTGCTCCACTTTATCTTTCCAGTTTACTTCAATAGCAGAGTGCCAGGTTCTCCAGCTATTCTTCAGCAATACCTTTCTGTAATGTCTATCAGCCAGACTGCATGCATAATCCTAAAAGTTTTGATATTAAATATTAGATGTTTAACCAGATTTGTAACAAATTGTGACAGACAGACAATTCAAAAGATTGGAATGAAAGAATTTCCCACCATGCATTATTAATATTTCTTAATCCTTAAAATACTTATTCTAAACCCTTTTTAGCACATTGAGGAAAGCTGAATGCATCAACAGAAGGCTCTGAAACAAACATCCCTTGACATCTGTGTATGCATGGTGCAACTGACAGCCATAGGGGGCTATTTACAAAAAAGGGAACAAAAACACTGCTATTGCCCATAATGACCAATGTTTTTTTTTAAGCTTACATTTTCTGGTAAAAGAGAACAAGGAATCTGACTGGTCATTTTGGGTAACAACTCAAGTTTTCTTCTCATTTTCATTTCCACCTCCTTTGCTGTACACCTTATTGAATCATGACAAATTCATCTTCTACCCTTGCTGCTCTCCTAGCTAGCCTACAGTTCTCAGCACAAGCATCTTCTGAATGCTTGTGCTGTCACAGTCAACTTCCATCCAAATGTAGGCATGAATATTTTACGATTCAAGGATGGCCCTTCCTCTGAGTTCACAGAGACTTTACCCATAGGTACTGATGCAGGAAATGGAGCTTTTACAGCACAACATCAAACAGAATGGTTCCTATCAAACACTGCATAAAGACAGAGGGGACTGTTTCTACAGGAAACGTAAAAAAGTTTCATTTGCAACGTGGTAAAGCTCTTTTAGCAGCAATATGGAAAGCAGTATTTTGTATAGCAATGTCCTCAAAAATTGTCAACAGGTAATTTTTCCATACTACTAGGCAGTGGCAAAACAGTGCTTACTGGTCACAGAGTAAAGGAAGCCCTTCAATGAATTTAATCAGAGATTGTGCACAAGAAGTTAGGACTACTAAGTGGTCCCTGAGGGCTATTTTAGAAAACACTGCTTTATATGATACAGGAAAATAGAACATTTCACAAATAATAAAATATATCACCTTACATTAGGCTTACACATCCACCAATGTAATTATTTTAATTCAGATTCAGTGGTTTATGTTTTTTATTCTGTAATCTTAAGTATTTTTTTTGTACTTGTAACTAAGCTGCATGGCTGCCCCACTTGCGACTCGACTAATGCAGTTGATGTTTTCAATTTTGAACATTGCTTGTGTTCATAGAGCTATTTCTGAATTACATCCTGCAATATTAAGAGTTATGGCAACAAAGATGAATGCAAAACTCTCAACATCCCTAGTCATAGTGACATACCTGGAGTATCATGTGTGTCGCTGTGTGTGTGACATGGACATACAGTACACTGCCATTCGTTTGGGTCATGCCAGGATGGACTTTCTGAATAATATTATGAAACAACACACCTAAGAAACACATATGTGCACTGTTTTTATCGGACTTATAGGCCTTTTATGTCACAGGGAAATAAGGACACTTGCCACATGACTCCCTACAGCAATGGGGGGTTTTCAATTTGGGAAGGGGGAATGCATGCTGTGGTGCAGCCCTGCTAAACTGGTAGATAGATCACTAAGACTATTGTTAACAATACCGCGCAATAAATGAATAATCAGCATGAATAATGGACTCCACCCTGCTGCCAATTTCTTACTACATGCTCAATTTTAGGCATAATCTCTTTATACGCGATTTCTACTGCAAAAAAGGACAATATAATAAGACAATGCAAGCAGTTATATTTGCAGTATTTTAAAATATACTTAAGGTTTTATTTATTGGATTGGTGACTGAACTGGAAGGTGTTTTTTTAATTTTTTTTATATGTGCCTATAGTTTCTCTTTAAATTGTGTCATCTGTAATAATCCGGAACATGCCACTCTCTCAAGTCATCCAAACATACTGCTGGCTGTATAACAATGATTCACATGTCTTGCGGTTTACCTCTTGTCTGGCTTCTATCTGCTGGAGTCGCCAGTGGGTAAAAGCTCGCATGAGCTCGATCTTTTCCTTGTGCTTCTCAAAGGCATGGGTCAGGTTAGAAATGACCTGAGGGAGGGAAGAACATGACATTCTGGATTCTCTGTGATTGGAGAGTATCTAATAAAATATTTGGTTCAGAAATTAGAAGGTTACATTATTCTACATGATCTATTCTAAGGTCTACGTAAAATGTGCTCTGTAAATTCACATAAAAATACTATATTCCCCAGCATCCCCTGTGATTTTAG